ATGCAACTTCTTCTTAGGGCTCACTTCTAGTCCTGTTAAGTCAGGGGCCAAGAAAATACAGAGAAGCCTGCTCCACACTGCTTGCTCTTCATGGCAAGCGGATTTCAGCACTCAAGCACAGCATTCACCAAAAATATTAAAGAGAGGGAGGAAGAAGGAATCACCCTACTTGCTGAACTTATCACAAGAGAAACATGCACAAGCTATTTCAGGCTCACTGAACTGCTAAGAGCATTTATTTTAACCTCTGTATTACTTTCCATTAAATAATACCCTGTAGTTTCTTCAGCAGGAGATAGATACTCAGCTTTAGTTCAAATGAGAAAGAGTTCCCTCATGAAAGCATGCACTGGTAGACAGAAGGGCCCTTCTCATGGACTTCTGTCGCAAGAAGAAAAAAAGAAGCTACACACACACATACACCCAGGAGATTAAAGATGAGAGGTGCCACACAAACACATTATATCCTAGAAACTTTTGCTTCTATTATATTAGTAGTTTAAGAAGTTACAAAACTACACATTTTAACTCCAGAGCATACTTATGTGTAAACGGACCCAAACGAAAAACACTAATGAGGTTATGGCTGAGTTAAGTGTTACAAAACAGACTCTCAAACTACTCCTTGTGCTTCCCGCTTATCTCCTTCCAGGAATTAGGAAAAAATTTCTATTCTGAACTCCTTTGATCTCTCAGATTTAGACAAAACTGCTCCCCCACCACTTGCGTGTCCAGCCTTAGAGACAGTCTTGATTGATCTTTGTGAACTGTGTTGGATGAAGCCCAAGGACAGCTGCTCGTGCAGACTTGTGCGCTTGCAAGACTAAAGAGTGACCCCAGTATCTTTCAGGGCTTTGATGTTCAGGGTTATTTCCACTAAAAAAAAAAAAAATCTTTTTACTATTCAGATTTCACTCTCAGCTCAGCAGCAGTGACAGAGCCCTCACAGAGAATCACAACAGAGTACTAACTCTCTCTTCAGATATACCCAGACATAAGCACATATGTCATGATACTACGTGAGAGCACTACACTACCATACTGGTCACCACAAGCACACAAAATAATTCTAGACATCTTTATTAAATTTAGTTTTTAACAATACCTTTTCTGATCTATTTGCCAACTAGCAGTTCAGCAGTTATTTTTCAATAACAGATTTTCACATCAATTTTTGAAATAAGGAGCTAAACAAGTAGGTGTTAACTGCACACAGGACAGGTAGCTGCCTTGATGATTTGTGGCTACTTTCAGTTTCCTCTTCTCTGGTACTACCAAAATCTCTTCTACTATCTCAGAACTTAACTATCTCACCTTATAAAGACTGGGCTCTCCATCCCTACTCAAATACAGCCAGCACCAATGATTTTGAACCAAGACAGTCAGTCTCCTGTTGACTAAGGGATCCCACAGACCAAGTCTTAGAGTGCACCGCATGAAGAAAAGGAGAAAGGGTTCACATAGGAGCCAAGAATAAGAGAAATCAGTAGAAAGAACACAAAAGCATTTAATTAAATTTGAATTTTGATGACACTTCACTGTTGTAAAGAAGTCACAATTCAGATATGGTTACCTTGGCAAAAGCATAAACTTTAAAGAACTCCTCCCCTCTGTTACATCACTATTTTTTATGGTTTCTATACATAAGTCCATTAACCACATGGAGATTCAATGTAGTTAAAGGCACAGAATACTTCTCAATGCTGTTGCATAAAGACATTTTACTAAACTGTACATGTACACCAAAACCAATATATGTGTCTCCTAAGGAAGCCTATGTATTTCTGTCTTCATTCACAATTGTCAGACAACACCAACATACACTTTTCTCCCTCCAGAGGAGCTTTGTGTTGATACAAGCAAGGCAGATTACATAGTTAGAACTTTCAGCAGTGTAGGTAATAGAGAGCAATTCTGCAGCACACTCCCTTCACAAAGGGATTAGCATTTCTCATCTTCCTCAGTGGCCTTTTTAGGATCTGGAGGTCATCAGATATAAAAATCATACCTATTGTCACAGGTGGGAAATTGCTCCTTCTATTGCAAATATCTTTCTCTAGATGCATGTTTTCAGTTCTGACTGTACTATACAGGTAAAAGCACTGAAGCCCTGCTGCAATTTTGTGATAACTCTCTGTTTTTCTTGGGAAAAAATAAAAATAAAAAAATAAAATTAAAAAAAAAAAAAAAAAAAAAAAAAAAAAAAAAAAAAAAAAAAAA